ACAAGCAATTTGTTTTGAATTCGTCTTGCGGTATTCCTTGAATTTTGTTGCGAGAGATTCCACCTTTACAATTATTGAGTGATGGCGAAGTATTTTCTTTGGGAATACATAATAAAAAGAGGTTGAGTCATTAAAAAAACATTTAGATGTACAGTATTACATCACACAGTATATAGTCGTTTTGTATACTACGAATGAGGGAAAATATGAAATTAACCTTTCGGTAAGAACTCATCATGGGTTCTACCCGCGTAAAGTACTGTACATCTGCGGCATCTTGCTCGCACAATATAAAAAAAAATTATTACCGTCTGTCAATCAAAATGAGCGGGTGCTGTTTACGCCATTAACAGCATATCCGTAACAGCAGATCACGTATTTTTCCCTTCAGCGTTGAAATACATTTTGCAGGAATTGATGATTTTTTTTCAATTTTTCTGCGTCTGTAATATATTAAGTACAGTGCGCGAAACAATCCAAATAAATATAGATCTGTAGAAATTATAAAAAATCAGTGCTTATATATATACTGTATATAATATATATTTACAGTAAATATAGAAAGATATTCCGGTTGAAAGTTATTGACAAGGTCATCAGAGGGGCCGAAATGAACATCGAAATACGGCCTACGACGGCTATATAAGGACTACAGGAAACGATGCGGAGTGTTCAGAAGTAAACTCGCGAAATCCGTTCACTCTTCAAGCTAAGACACCAGTCAGTCAGAAGACACCATGCGCGGATTCGCGATTCTCGCACTAGTGCTCGGATGCATTGCCGTTTCGACCGCGCAAAGACGTAAGTCTACATCAAGAACGAATAATGCGCATGTATGTTGTTTCAAAACGTTATTTGAACATCTTCTCAGGCATCCATGCGCAAAGTAGCGGGAAGAACTATTACTTTTCTTGGCGCGAGAACAGAGGGCTTGAAGTTGGATGGGACCAAGCCAACGCCATCTGCCGACAACTCGGCATGAACCTTGTTTCATTGAACAGCCCTCAGGAGTCGAACTATGTGAGGAACGTCGTTGCACAAGGTAAGTCGACAATTTCCTTTTTCTGAATTCGCGTACATTTAAACGGTAGTTTGCTTAACGGGAAGGAAATCTAACTTAAACTAAAATTGTCAAAAGGCAGAACAATCCTGTTCGTGAAGTTCGAACATGAAGTAGCACTTCGGTTCTAAATACAACTGGAGCTTATTCAAATCAGATGAATCATCGAGATTAGAGCTAGAACTGAACAATATGTAGCATCTAGAACATGATTGGGTTCACTGAAACACACCTTCAAGTTAACATTTGATTTCTGGGGCATGCACAGAGGGATTGCAATATATATGGACATCAGGAAGACGCCAACGCAATGGATGGGTATGGTCTTCAACTGGTGCCCCAATTCGTTTTGGTGAGTCCCAGAAACTATCCATAACCAAGACAGTCTAAGGAATAATTTACATAATTACAGGACAATGGTCTCAAACCGGAGGATTCGGGCGTCCTCAACCAGATAACAGGGAAGGTAACGAGTTCTGCTTGGGCATCCTGAACAACTTCTACAACGATGGGGTCGTGTGGCACGACATCGCTTGCCATCACAGGAAACCGTTCATCTGCGAATCACCCGCCTTTTTCAGAGGCTGAAGTCTAATTACATCCAGATTTGTACCTATTTCATTCATCAACGTGAAATGACAAGACGCGATCTTGAAAACAATAAATAAATCTTTTATCAAAAAGCCTGCGATCATTCCAACAATCAGAGAACAATGCCGGGGTTGCTTTGCCTGACATAACCAAGAAGACTTTCAGAATCTTCACAAATCACATGTTTCTGGTGCCCGCAGGCGATATCATGCCACTTGAATTGTCCACTCGATTCGTTGTAGATTGACGGATTCAACATGGCTATGCAGCTTTCTCCTCCTTCGCGGTTATCTGGCTGAGTCCCTGAAGAAATACTGATACCTGCAAAAATCCAAAAATAACATATTATTTGACAAAATAGAAACATGAATGCTACACTAGCATCCCGCTACAAGTTGATTTAATCAACATTAAAAAAAATGATTCATGACGAACACAAACCTAGAATATATCCCTTCAAGATGTTTTCTTCTTATAATAAATATAAATTGAAATTTATAGTACAGTAATTTCATAATTAATATTTTTGTTCGAAAAAAATGTCTTATTTTAATAATGCTCTTCAGGCCGCCTCCATAACTCGAATTTTCTATGCTGAGATATGTTGGCAATAATTTTTTGACATAGAAAGATCGAATATAAATGTAATTTTCAGAGCTTCAAAATTAATTGAATGATTAATTTGGCATATCATTTGAAAAATGGACCAAAATATCACCGACTAAGATTTCTAGTAGTTCTACCATTTTTTACCACAAAAATTCAACAAAACTACTCGCGTTTATAATTGGAAACCTTAATAGCACGAATTTTTCGTTGGGCTATTAAAATCAACAAGAAAACTACAACATGGTTTTCTGAAGTAAGCGTACAGAACCCAGATAACATACCCCAGTCCGTATATCCACGACCGATTGCGGGAATTCCGACACCGGACCCAGACCAGAACCATCCGTTCGTTCTAATAGGCTGCAAATCAGCTCGATCAAAGTAAGCGTACAGAACCCAGATAACATACCCCAGTCCGTATATCCACGACCGATTGCGGGAATCCCGACACCGGACCCGGACCAGAACCATCCGTTCGTTCTAATAGGCTGCAAATCAGCTCGATCGCATCCGGGAAAATCGCAGAGACGCCCTGAAGTCCAGATGAATTCGATACGCCCTTGACGCCAAGCATCAATCAAGATCGACTTGACGTACTCCTCCTCTGCTTGGGTCTCGATAGAAACGGCATCCATACATTGGCGACGACAGAAATTTCGGGAATTGAACCAATCCAACTTAGGTGTGTTGATCCAACTGTACTGGTAGTTGTGATTGCCAAATTGAGAATCCTTCCTTCCTGCAAAAATTAAATCCGATTAGCAAACATAAAACGGATACACAAATCATTATAACGGGATTTATTTTTATGGTCATTTCACTCTGGGGAAATTTCAAAAGGAAAATTTCAAGATAAATTAAATCCATGCTTTAAATTAAAAGAAATTTCAATTCGATGAAAGACATTTCTCTTAACATGTACATAATGCACAAGTTCGACAAATCTGTGTCCACGATTTCGAAGAGTACTGTATTCGACAATTTCCTCAACAGACAAAATCGTTATAGAGAAAGTCTACCTATATATAATTAAACGAGAAGAATTCGTAGAGGAAACAATTCATCGGGAATTAAATCGAAAAAAAAAACACTTACGAGATGAGCACAAAGACGGAATGGGTGCAGACAACCCATCGCGAGTCTCCACGGTGTCATTGACATTAGAAGTGCGCGTTTTGAAGTCTTGCACGGCTTCGGAAACGGCTTTCACGATAGCCTCCACCTTTGCCTTATTCTGCTCTGCCTCGAAATCATCCATACCGGCCTTCGGCACGAATATGGGGATGGGCAGCGAAATCACATTGCTCGTGTCTTCCTCTTCTTCTGGAGCAGCTTTCACAGCCACGTCGTACGGTGATCTTTGCAACATAGCAGAAGCTAGTCTTTGGAACAACGTCGGTGCGGGCTGAAGGTTGAGGTAACCATACGGCGATGTCGCGAGGGCGGCGGAAAAGAGTGGAGAGTCGCTGAGTGAAGCGCCATTTGTGTAAGATAGTGTGATTAATAGCCCAGACAAAATGAACGACACGGACGCCATTTTAGTATCTGAAGATGAGAATAAATTTGAAACATTAAAAAATATTTCGGCACAGGCATAATAAGTAAACGAGCATTTTTGCAACACTAATTATTCATCACTTTCATCCTACAGGCAACATCATTCACGACGAAAATGGAAAGAGAAAATCATCACTGTGTTCAAAGCGATTCCTTGTAAGGAAAAAATCAATAACAGAAATCTAATACAGTACAGTACAAAATGTACGCTTTAAGAATGCAAACTCAAGTTATCTTACATACAGAACTTCAACAAGACACCCTTATTTACGATCAATTTCGCACAAGAACACTGTTTTCAAGGTTCTACTTCGTTTTCATGCATAAAAAAAAGAAAGATTTGGTAGTGGATGGTTACGTTCAAGAATTCTTTACTCACCGAATTTCGAATGTAAACTGACGCAATGTGGTCCATCTGATGGTAGAAGTACATGGCGTGGTGAAAGCGAGCACAAGGACGTGGAAAGTCAGGCATCGTTGCAACAAAAAGAAATCCTCCACGGGGGATTTGTGTTACAAGTGGTTATTCCTCGAATTCGTAAAGGCATTATTTCCCCACAAGGTCGGCGAAAATTCCATGAATCCCGGAACCCGTCTTATCGAACACTCCAAAGAAGGGTTATGATTAACCAACAAAAGAGGCATGAACCACAAGCAGAGGTTCGAAATTTTTAGTTATTCCAACCTTTATGAAGGCTATAGGATCTATTTTCCGTTGGACTTTCAGCGGAATTTCATCCACAAAATCGACAAAAAAAATTAAAAAGGGAGGGCGTTGAAACGATAATTGACGAATTTCGATTTGTGGCAAAAATGTAACTTGTATTATCCATTTTTAAGAACCGCACATTATCACTTGAACGAAACCAAATGAATTTTTTCAGATATTGCGACGCTTCGATGGTAAAATCCGTTGAAATTTAGTAATGACGCGAATGAGCCGGTCTTCGACCAATCCGATGTAGCATCCATCTCTTCACCAACTGCAAAATGTTTGAGATTAATGAGCAAAATACATAATTATGAGAGGTCAGCTTAACATTCCACATGCCATCCAACGCATACAATGGGGTAAATGGTGTGTTGAAACCAGTACTCGCCGAATACGATTTTGATCACAATTATCTTTCTTTCAGTAATTAGCAACTACAGTATGTCGATCGGGGTCACGAGAAAATGCCGATGGGAAAATTATTACAGGAATTTTACAAAGAACAAACAGTAGAAAACGTTTAAATTTACTCAAGGATACTGTCGATTTTATCATTTTAGAAAATTTGTGCTTTTAGTTCGGTTAGAATTTTTTAAGCGGAATATTTTCTCCCAGGTCATTTTTCCCAATGAATTTTCCTCTCGAATTTATTTTTTCTTGGTACCTGTAAATTTTCCGAAAAAAGTAATGTACTGTATTCAATATTTCAATTCGCCGCATACGTTCAGCGAGCTACCCTGTTATTTGTCTACACAGAATTTTCTTCTTGAATGCACTGATTTTTCAACCATCAATGAAAATTAGAACTAAAGCCTGAATGCAAACGAAAGACGGTGTTAAACAATGCAAATGAGGGTCTTGTCAATAATTCTACAAGTCACATGCAAAACTTCATTCGAGTCATCAATCACATTTCATAGATGACTCATATGTATCCTAATCCATATCAAAAAGCAGGAACCCTCGATTGACCTAATAGGTCAAAAGATGTCCTCATGGACATTGTGTTCATGCACAACAGCGGGTCTTTGAAATTTCTCTGAATCATTTTACAGTACTGTATATTCACTTGAATATAATTCATCTGCTGTACGTGGCATCCTGCAACCTTTAAAATAGGAACACCTTGAAAAATTCAAAAATGACGTCAGTACCTGGGGATACTTTATTTTGGACACATAATTAACTCATCTGTCCTTGACTCCAGTGACTTAAATTTACTACAATGTACCCTTTTTCTGAGGCACCCACAGGATCCCTTGCTGCATAGTTCTGTCTGTTCGGTCTTTCAGTTTTGTGTACGCCTTGAAGTATAGTTTGTGAATTGCAGGGAGGTTTTTTTATTTACAGAAACCTGCATTTGGCAAATATAATAGTAAAAGTTGATAAACTTAAGGGGTAAGCAATAGAGAATTGGTCTGCAGTAGACTTTCTCAATTAGTTTCATGTGGAAAATAATTTTTAGCTTTATAAAATTTTCAGAACTTCTGAGAGGTGCCCATTTTCTTCTTCACTCATTTTTATTTATTGTTGCCGCAAGTATAAGGACTGCCAAAAAAAAATTCAAGCTGATTAAAAACGACAGTTGCAATCATCGCGCTGAATCTATGAGTAGGAGACCCTTTTACTTCTAGCAAACAAAAACCCCCAATCCATGAGCGGACATGCTGGACTGTACTTCCATTACAACCAACAAAAGCCCATGCAGAGAAGAAGACATTTTTTGCACCATACACAAGACACATAGCGGAGCAATCACGTGCCACCATACCTCGTGTGGTGCAACCAGACTGGAAAAAGGAAATAGACATGGAATTCAGTGTCCCGTAAAATCACGAGGTGAAGGAAAACTTTCCATTTGCTTGCCCACGAGTCTTGTTCATCAGCTTTCTACTCAAAAACTTATTATTGTAACACTCAAACGAACGTGAGATTCATTATTTCTCTTTCAATTGAAAAAATATTGCACAACATTTAAAAAAATGAATTAGCAGCGTAGGCTCTACAATGGAAAGGCCAAAATCATCCCTCCAACAGCGCGTGAAGAAAAAAATTTGAGAGAAAGCTTTTGTACAGTGCTTCAATTCCACGAATAATATCCAAGTACCGTAGAAAATAAACTCACCTCTGTATAAAAGCTGGCTAATGTGGTTGAAGTGCAAATAAACACGATGAGCGGGGATGAATTCCGAATGCGATAGTTTCCCCTCAGTCTCTTTCCAAACACCAGACGAATACAATTCGCAAAACGAGCAGATGTAATCCAAAACTCGATGCAACAAGCTCAGCAGGTAACCTGAACGTTTGTCGTTACCCAACAGGCATCTGAAATTTCATCGGGCATGTTTTAAAAATGTCCCGGCTCAAACCTTACCTCGAAACTTTTCTTGAAGATCACTACATTAAAAACGTCAAAATATCATTATTCCATGTCTCATCTCTGGACGAAAGAGCCGTTCTACCAACTTCAAAGGCATGACGCAGACTTAGCAAATATTCTTTATCGTCTGTGGGGATCACCTGAAATACTGAATAGTGTACAAATTCTATTTGACAACGGAAAGACTGTCAACAAAAATTTTGTTTGCACAGTACATTACGATTTTTTGGTGTGGTCCCATTAGGTTCTCATCAACTGCTTCATTTTGGTCCCTCGAACTTCGTTGTTCAGAGATTATACCTACATTAGGTTAGATTAATTCGAATTCGTTCACATCACGCCAGATTCAACTGTCAGGTCGGTTCTGAAATAGTTTGGTATTTGGGATACACCTCCTGACCGCCATTAAAAAAAATGTCATACACTGAAGTGAGGTGAACCGCCTGCTTTTCGCAATAATCGGAAAGCAAAAATAAAGTGGCATTAAAAAATGCCTCCGAAAATTTCAATATTACCTGTAGTGTACCCGATCCACCATTTCAGAATGCAAGTGAATAAAATGTCTCCAAGATAGAACCTCGTTCATCAAATTTTCCTTGAACTCCTGAAGACAGGCTCGAATTTGCTGACTTTCGAAGAACTGCATTAAAGCTGACACAAAATGCGACATTTCCAGTCGCTGAACCAGAAAAGATCTGTACTCCGGATTACTTGCCACCGCACAAGTGTTTTTCGCATCTCGGCTACTTCTTCCTGTTGAAATGCAATAAATAAATTAAACTTTATACACGAA